CCACGTAACTGAGGCCCCTCCAAGCCACAGTGGCACGAAGTGTCCAGAACTTTCGGGAGAATGCTCTGGTCCCCTCTGTCCCCTCCCCAACCCCAGAGCAGATGGTTCTGCGGGTCCCTTCCTGGTGCAAGGCTCCTGCTGAGCCCAGTGTCTGGGAGGTCGATCCTCCAGGGCCCTGACGTCTTGCTGCTCGTGGATCCCAGACCCTTCTCCTTGGTCTGTGGTCCCCTCCCACCTGCATGAATGGCCCTGCTGTCCCCTCCCTGGGGCAGATGATGGGGCCTCTGGGGACTCTCCTTCCTGGGGAGGGGGTGGCGCCTCCCGTTGGCTTTCTCTCTGTTAGAACGCCAGGGGGGCAGGGTGGCGGGAGAAGTGAAGTCAAGGCGTGTGTCAAAAATCAGGGCCTGTGTCAGGCCACATCCATGGCAGGGGTGACAATGGGCAGCTCAGGGCTGGCCCATGGAGGAGCCCATAAGCCCCTGCAGCTGTCGCCGGGCTCTCTGGACTCTGGCCCACCGCCCTGTCCCAGCTGTACTACCTGGGGTTTGTCACCAACCCCTCCTGACCGCCCACCCTGTGGCAGGTGCTGGGGGAACACCAGCATCGGGGATTCTTGCTTTCTTAGGTAGGGACATTGAGCCACGAATGACGTCACCCATCGTCACCCATCTCGAAGTGAAGGAGCCGGGCTGACTCAGCAGGCCTGGCTCTGGGGTCCCTGCTCCGGAACCAGTGTCCCAGCCCCTCCCCACCGTGTGCTAGTGTCCATGTCTCCCACGAGACAGCAGAGGACGTGGCCCGTGTTCCCTGGAGCCCACCTGTGGGAGCCGCGATGGTGACGAGGACACTACCTCCTCAGCACCCTGCCCGGCTCTTTGCCCACGCTGGGCCCTCACAGGACCCCGAGGGGCTGCACCCCTATGAGGGGTCAAGGCGTGGGAAGGCCGGGACAACTGTGGCAGGAAGTGGCAGAGCCGGCATCAGAACTCGGCTCTGTTGATCCCAGACCCTGGGGCTGTCCACCCTCCATCGCCGTCATGGGACAGATCCTCCAGATGACTGTGAGCGTCCCCAAAACGACTCACCCGCGTTTCTCTAGGGCTCAATTCTTTTCATAAGTCAAAGTCTCATGGGATTGGAGTGTGACTCTCACCCGGGGCGTGGTGACGTCCTCTGGGGCCTGGGGACCTTTCTGATGTTTAGGCCTCGACCCGCTAAATCCCACTCCTTTGGGCCTGAGCCCCCTGAGGGGAGGCCACTCCGCTGAGCTGACCTCGCGCAGCCTGCCCCTCTGCGGTGCCCACGGTTCAAGGAAGGTATGCTGCCGTCAGGTGGCGGTGACAGGCCACAGCTCTGGGACCTATTGGTCAAGCCCCGAGAGGCAGTGTGAGTGGTGGAGGGATCAATGTACTTGTCTTCAGTTTTCCACCAAAATAAACCCCTCCATGGAACACACCCGTTTAACGACGGTCCACGCGATGGCTGTCAACCGTTAAGGTCATTTCTAAAAGCAGCGAAGTCGGCGGCAGGCCGGTCCATCTCTTTCTCATTAACGCTTGGCTAATCTTGAGCATGGAGACTAAGGATTCGGAGGGGAAAAAAAAATCTCCAGTGTTTCGATTTCAGCTGTGAGACTTTGGGCCGTGGGAACAGCCCGTCTTCCTCAGGTTCTATGATTTTGCCTTAAAATTCAGCTTTGCCTTACACCGACCACGTGGGCTGTGGACCATGTCGGCTCCAACTTCTTCTTCCTGACCTTGTCCAGCAGAAATAGAAATGGGAGAGCCACTTACTCAGCCCCCTGAGAATCTTCCCTGCCGACCTGGAGATGGAGCCCCCCCGGGATTCCCTCTGTCCCGTGTGGAAAGTCCTGACGTAGCCAGTGGGAAGGGATATCTGGGCATAGGTTGGGGCAGGGATTTCGGGGTGTATGGACCCGGGGGTGTTCTGTTCTATCATTCGCTGGGTGTCTGGTCCGGATGTTTGGAGCCTGGGCTTTTCATTGCTACAACCCAAATGCCTGGGAGAATCAACTTAGAGGAGGAGAAATGTATTTGGGTTCACAGTTTCAAGGGTTCAGTCCATGGTCGGTGGCTCCATTGCTCCTGAGGTGAGACAGGACACCGTGGCAGAGAGCACAGAGGGGTAAAGCTGCTGAGATCGCGACAACTAGGAAGTAGGGGTGGGGACAGAGAGAGAGGTGGACCAGGGACAGGATATAGTCCCCGAGGGCACACCCCCAAGGACCCACTCCTACGAGGAGTGTCTTTGGGAGACACTTCATGTATAAGCTGTAACGGTCTCTGTCTGTCTCTAGCGTGGGGATTCTTGGGGTGCGTTGCCGGTTGTTATGGGATTAAAGCAAGAGGGAACAGCCGTTCCTGATAAAGCCCCTCAGCCCAGTAGAAGGTAAATTACGTAACCCGGCAAAGGACAAGAGTAAAACACAGCTAATAACAAACTTAATGTACAAGAATGAGTGTCTCCCCTCCCCCCCAGTAGGCGAAGAATAGTCTGTCTTCAACAGGTCGACTGGCAAGACAGAGTGTCACCTAGAGGAGGCTCTCTTATCCGCTCCACCCAAAAGCAACTCTAAATGGAAAACGGGCATAAATGGAAGAGTTAAAATTACAAAATGCTGAGAAAAAAAGAGGTGAATTTTCATAGTCTTGGGTTAAGCAAAACGTTCTTAGATACGCTATTCAAAGCATAAACAGCACCATAATTTCAGAAGCTCAGGAGGCTGAGGCAGGAGGATTGAAAGTTTGAGGCTGGCCTCCGCAACTCAGTGAGGCCCTTAACAACTTAGTGATACCCTGTCTCAAAATAAAAAAATAATAAGGGCTGGGGATGTGGCTCAGTGACAAAGTTCCCCTGGGTTCAATCCCTGGTATATATATATATATATATATATATATATATAAAAAAGCCACCAAAACAAACAAAAATCCAGTTTATCTAAACTGAGCTTCATTAAAACTCAAAACTTTTGCCCTTCAAGTGACATCATCAAAAAAAGTAGAACCTGCAAAAGGAATAAGATATTGGCAAATCAGATGTCTAATAAGGAATGTGTATGCAGAATATAGGAAGAAATCTTACCACTCATAATAAAAAGAGAACTCAATCTAAAATAATGGCCCAAGTGTGATTAACGGGTGGGTAGCATATACAACACAGACACGTAGCGCAGAGGAATGATTCATGCCTTGGCCAGGACACAGTGGGAGGGGAGGAGATGTTGTTATGCTACCTGGAATAGTACACAGTTTAAAACTTCTAGATTTTCTTTTCTAGAATTTTCCACTTACTGTTTTCAGACTGCAGTTGACCACAGGTAATGGACACCTTAGGAAGGAAAATCACAGAGAAGGGGAGAGGGGACACTATATATCCATACAATGGAATATTTTTTTTTTCAGGAAAAGAAATGAAGTACTGAGTCGTGGTACAGTGTGGGCATCCTTGAAAACAGACTCAGTGAAAGAAGCCAGTCACCAGAGACCACAGCTTGCCCGATTTCATTTGTATGAAATGCCCAGACAAAATTAGATCAGCTGTAGCCTAGGGCCGGGAGGTGGGGAAATGGGGACTGACTGCTAATAGGTGCGGGCTTTCTTTGGGGTGTGATGAAAATGGTCTAAGACTGATTGTGGTGATGGCCACCCAATCTTGTGTGTACAGTAAGAATACACTGAAAAACCATTGAGTTGTACATTTTACTTTATTACTTTAAACTTTTTTTTTTTTTGGTATTGTCGATTGAACCCAAGGGCACTTTACCACTGAGTTACATCCTCAGCACTTTCCATTTTTTTATTTTGAGGCAACGCCTCGCTAAGTTGCTGAGGCTGGCCTCAAACTTTTGATCCTTCTGCCTCAGCCTCCCAAGTGGCTGGAATTACAAGCATGCTTCCCCACAGCCGGCTCAACTGTGCCCTGTAGATGGATGAACGGCATGGCTTAGGAGTCACACCTCAGACAAGCCACTGAGGAAGATAAAAGACAAAGCGCTCAGCACCTAAACCCTAGATAGGATTAAGGAGCCCCGTCGGGGTGGGAGTAGGAACGGGGCTCGGCAAAGCCTGTGTCTCCCTCAGGCCCAGGAGACAGGGGCTGAGGGCCTCCAAAGTTTTCATGGGCCACGAAAATGCTTTAATTTCTTTTAAAATCAGAAGGAAAAAAAAACACACACAAAACTTTGAGGGGATTGTAAAATATAATTTTTAATTTCAGTTTTATGGTGTTGGAAAGTGCCCCTGAAGGGCAAAGGAGGTCCGCCACGTGTTTCCCTGCTCTGGTCTGAATTTGGATATTTACCACATTTACCCCACTCTAGCTTTGGAGAGAACCATAAATACTAAAGAAAGGTTAAATTCTTTGGAAATAAAAAGCAACACTTCCTCTCCCCCTCTTCGGTTGCAATTCTCCCTCCCGTTCTTGGTTGTCAGCAAACACTTCTTTATGTGGTTGCTTACAGTCTCGGCGCCACAGTCTTGCTGTGTGACTCAGGCTGGTGGCTCAGCTACTCTGAGCCTCCTTACCTTCAGGGCCCAGGCCACCGTGGGAGGCAGGGACCGTGGCAGACCAGAGCCTCCTGTGCCCCATCCAGGGGACCCAGGTGCCAACCTTGTAGCTGCTGCTGAGTGGAGTTGGCCCTCCACGGGGAGGTCGGGGACCTGGGTGGCCGGGGCGATCGGCACCTGGGGGGACATCTGCGGACCTCCCTCCTGGACACCGTCCACTCGTGCGCATGCGCACCTGTGGCTGGCGTGGTCAGCTGGGAGCCCAGCGGGAGGCACCCGGGTTGGGGTGGCGGCCGGGAGGGTCCCCTGGGTGGGGAGGAGGTCGGGCCCAGCGGGCTGCTGGCCACCGGGGCTCGGGGACGTCGCGGCTGGGGTTGGGTTAGAGGGGCTGCTGGCCACCGGGCTCAGGGACGGGGACAGACGGGGCCTGAGCCCTCGGTGCTGTCACATTCTGAAAACCCCTCTTTTCTTTTCAAAGGTGAGAAATGTCGCAGCTTCATTGACCTGGCCCCGGCGTCGGAGAAAGGTGAGTGCCGCTTGCCCAGGGGCCAGCTTTGGCCTCCGGAGACGGTCCCCTGACCCTGGCCTCCCAGTGACCGGGTGACAGGCCCAGGAAGCCAGCTGTCTGATCACTGAAGCCCGGGAGGCAGGTGGGGGAGGACCACCTGTCCTCCTGCCCCAGGGGTACCCGGGGGTCCTTTGTGCCCTCTTCCACCCAGGGCACTCTGGGACTCCGGAGGAGGAGGCAGGGTGGGTGTTAGAAGTGGAGCTCAAATGGTACTAGGGCCTTGCCTCCCGCTGAGGCTTTGGTCCCAGAAGATGGAGACCAGATGTCTGGCCGCTCTTGTCTCACAGGTATGGGGAGGGTCAGTCTGAGAGGTTTCTGCTGCACTGAGTCCCCAGGACCTGGACTTCTGCTGTGTCCCTGCATCACCCCGTGGTCTTTGTCTTCATGGTCTAAAAGGGTGGCTAGAGCGCCAGCCATAGCATCTGCATTCCAGGCACTACAGTGGAGGAAGGGCAAAGATCAACTGTAAGGTTACCAGAAGTTGCCCAGATATACCTGAGAATATCTCCGTGTCCAGAATTGAACACAGGGCCCTGCTCAGCTGCAAGGGAGGCTGGGAAATGTGGTCTTTATGCTGGGAAATGCTGTGACCAGCTAAGTCTGTGATTGTGGAAGAAGTAACTTGATCCTGGAGGGGGACCTATCGTGGGGACAGAGAGGCTGGCCATCTCCCCTCCTGCCTGCCCCCCTAAAAGAGCCTGCAAGAGAAACAGGTGGCCTGGAGATGGAGGGAGGGCCGTTCTGGAGTCAGGCCACGGGAAGCCGAGGCAGCAGCCCAGGCACGGCACCGACCCACATGGAGAGCACCAGGTGTCCTGTGGTCTCTCCTCTCAGGCGGTTGGCAAAGGCAGAGGGGGCCTGTGTCATGGAGGGTGGTGACATTCCTGCTGCACAGGTGCCGAGTGGTCCTCGGGAGACTGAGGGGTGAGTGACAGCCCCCCCACTGTCCCTCAGCCCGCAGGAGGAAGCCAGGACCCCGGAGCAGGCCTTGGGAGAGGGAAGGCTCCGCTTCCTGTTTCCCATGGCCATTTCCTGTGGGCCGCTGCGTGCAGCTGTCCCTGAAGCATTTGGTGGAGCACCCAGGGGCCGGCTTCCAGCTCCAGGTCACTAGTAAGCAAGGCTGCTGGCCCCGGGGACAAGAGGCGGAGGTTTATTGAGCAGTTACTATGGGCCATGCCCCAGGCACTGAGAACCCCCTGGGGGCTGTCCTCACCTCCACCTGGGGGCGGGGGACTGAGGCTGAGCCCCCCACTAGCGGGCATCTCCCATCTCCTAAGGTGCAGAGCCAGGTGTTGGCCCAGGTCCTGGTCCCGGATCCCATGATCCACGTCCTCCCTGTCCCCTGGGACGCACGTCCCACCACCCCCAGGGCCCGGGGATCCCGGCTGCCCACCCGGCTGACAGCGAGCGGGGCCTGCGTGTGTGCCCTGGCCGGGTGGCTGCGGCACCTGGCAGCTGCTCCCGGGGCCTGTGCCCACCTGTAGGCGCCTCCCAGTGTGTCCACCCAGGGCCGTGTGCCCGTGTCCATGTGCAGGTCAGCCGGGTGGCTCCGGCCCCCCAGGTGGCCTTGGGCCTCTCCTCCTGGTTCTTTTATGAGGCCCCAGGGCCCCAGAGGCGTCCACCGATCTGTTTGACTGGCTTTGCTCACCCTGTGACTCCAGGGCTTGGTGGCCATGCCGAGGACCCTCCGGCTGTGTGTAGAGAAATGTCTACAAGAGGTGGAGGGGACAGCTCTGCCACCGTGTCGTGGGGCGGTCTTCCTGTACCCACTGCCTCTCAAACGCTTTAGCTGTCCTGGGCGTGGGCAGGGTTAGGTCCACGGCAGCCGTGGCCTCTCGTGGTGGCCACCCGTGGGAGTGTGACACAGACCCACCCACAAGCTCACCCTCTCCCTGCACAACTGGAGTCTCCACTGTGCAGTCCAGGCCCCCGGGGGACGGGGACATGGGGTGACTTGTTGCAGGCGTGTGCTCACCCCAAGGGCTGTCTTCCCAGGGACGCTGGCCGCCGCCCCAGCTCCCCCGCGACTCCTCTCCTGGTGTTTTTCTGGTTGGGCAGATGTGATCAAGATGGTGACCCTAACACCAGGGGACCTTCAGGGGCACCTGCCATGGGCCAGCCTGATTGACGTGGTCCACCTTCACAGATGAGGAGACCGAGTCACAGGGCCGTCCCACAGCTAGGGGCCAGCAGGGCTGGGATTTGAACTTGAGCAGTCTGGTTCTTCTGCTTGAAAAAGCTGGACCCAGGAGGGTCACAAGGGGATCCCCTCCGAGACCTGGGGGATTCGTCCTCCTCCATCCAGGACCTCTGAGCTGAGTCCGGAGCTTCCCTCTGCCTGAATCTCTGGTTTCCGTGACTGGAACAAAATACTCCAGATGAGCAACTTAAACAGAAGGAAGGTTCATCTTGACTTACAGTTTGGGAGCCTTCCCTTCATGGTGGGCTCACCTGCTGCTTTGGGGCCTGCGGTGGGAGCACGTGGTAGAGTCTGCTGTCATTCATGGTGGCAAGGAAGCCAGAGAGTCAGCAGGAGACCCGTGTCCCATAATCCCCCTCTGGGTCACACCCCCAATAACCTAACTTCCTCCCGCCAGGCTCCACCTCTTAAAGGTCCACCACCTCCCAATAGCGTCAAACTGAGGACCACACGTGGACCTTCAGGGAACATTCCAGGTCCAGACAGTGGCAGCCTCTTTCCACCTGGCAACCGCTCATGTGCTCTCACGGCCCTTCTCAGATGCTGCCTCCTCGTCCCCACCTCTGCCCGCTGGCCAAGCACTTGCCTGTCATCTGTGTTCCATGCCATGGTGTGGGGTGTTCTTCCTTTGCCTGACCACTCCAGTTTCACGTTCCACGTGGGGAACATATTTTTTGTGTGTGACACTGGCCTAAGCCATGACCATTTTTCATCTGCATTCCTGCCACACTCTGCCTTTTGGTAGTTGGAACAATCTTTTTAAAGCATAAAGTCACATCCCAGGATTCCCTTGTTTAAAACCCTTGCACAGCTCTTCTTGTGATAAAAGTGAGTGTCCCTAGGGTGACCTAAAAGGTCCTGCATAGCCTGGCCCTATACCTGGGATCTCATCTCCTGCCACCTTGCCTCCACACTCTAGCTCAGAATTCTTGCTGTTCCTTGAGTCAACCAAGCTAGTGGGTGCCCCAGGGCCTTTGCACATGCTGTTCCCCTGCTCCTGCCACACTATTTCAGAATTTTGCATGTTCTGAATACAATACTGCAATTCAACATACTTGTGGAAATTTGGGTGTGTAATTTGAAAGTTGGTGTGTAAATTAGAGATGAAAGACTCTTATAAACCCACCCTTAGATAATAATTATTACAAAAAGCCCCATATATATACACACACATATGTGTTTATATGTAGGTATGTATATTTATATAGAAGTCATGGATTAATTTTCCTATTAGTATATGGAGACTTGCCTTCACTGTGTGTGTGTGTGTGTGTGTGTGTGTGCGTGTGTGTGTTTTGTTGGGAATTGTGAATGCTAAGCACACGTTCTATCGCTGAGCCACATTCCAACCACTGTGTTCATTTTTGAAACAACCGTGTCCTATTCCATCACAAGGAGACAATTTATCTAGGTCCTGCAGCTGGACATTCAGATTATGTCCCCCTTGCCCTTGAGTGTCCAGGTTCATAGCTGGATAATGGTGCCTTGCACATCCCTCTGTCCCTCATAAGCCTGGTCTCAAGCCCCAAAGTTCTCTTCCTTTCCCTGAGCCTCCAGGGCTCTGCCCACCTCGGGGCAGCGCTGGCGTAATCAGCACTGCACTGAAGGTCTGCACAGGAGGCTGTGCCAGGCAGAGGGCGAGGAACTAACTCAAGGTGCCCGAGGGATTTATGAAGGTGAAACGTGCCAATTCAGGTGAACAGCAATGCCCACAAGCTGTGACCTTGACTTTGAAAATGCAGCAGCAAAGCTTTTTGGACTTCCCCATCTTCTTCTCCCAGGCTTCCCTGCATTTAAAAGCCTCGGTCACTTATTAAGTCATGTGACCCACTGATAGTCTTAAAGCCTGGTGTATCAGTCAGCAAGACCTGTGTTAATGCTGTGTAACAAGCCATCCCACCTCAGTTATTATTCCAGCAGTGAATATGGTAATGATCATCAGTCATCTGTGGATTTTCTTGGGGTTCGCTGATGTAGAATAACTTGGTTCCAGGATTTAGACTAGGTTCAAATCAGCTCTGCACAGGTCTGTTTTGGGGACCAGGTAGAGGGACCTGCAGATACCTGAAGGAGCTTTTCTTGTGGTCATTCATACCTGCGCACGTCCCACCTGCAGGCCACATCCAACACCAATGGGGGGG